TTTTGGACTTCTTTATGCCGCCGAACTTGTACTAGATGCGCAGTTTAGCAAGACGAGAAGTAGAAAGAGCTGGAATGACGGTAACTTCCTATAACTCCATTAAACAATCAGTTGTCAATATTCTAGAGTAATATTTAAAACTTAAATATACCAAATTTAAAAGACATCAAATCTTCATAGAGCGTTTTAAAAGCAGTAGACTTTCTCAATTTCATCTCCTTTCCGGGCAGATATTCCTAATTCCGGAAAAACCATATCATAGGTTTTTGATATGTTATAACGAAAAAAATTCAACTCAAAATGTCTTTATTCTAAAAAATTTGAAAATATATTCTTTTCCAACGTTTGTTTTAAGTCTTATTCTCATTTTATCAATAAAACCGTCAAGCAGAATCAGGTAGATTACATTTTAAAATAGAATATATACCAATTTTGAAAAGTCAAAAAGCACTTAATTCTGTTAAGCTTCAGCTGAATTGCAAGTCTCCGAAAAAAAGCCTGTCAAGTAGCAACCTGGTAAATTTCGCGACGTTGAGGGAATGTAACTTGCCAGGGAATTCACTTTTCCAGGTCCTCTCCTCGGCTTTTCAGAACTTTCCGAGACTTGGCTCTCATTTAAATGGTGGCTCCATCGCGCTGACTGGCTGGTGGGAACAGAGAATTCAGAATCCAGAATCCTGCTTTTCTGGTGTATTATATGAATGCCATATACAGTAGGCCTCCCTTGCTAATAACGGTGAAAGACGTCTTCTCACTTTTTTGCCTGCGCAGTGAGTGAAGTAAGCGGGACTTGCTGTGATGCTGCCCGAGTGCCACTACCTCACGCAGAATGCTACTATTTAGTACCCTGCAGTTGTTGGTGGTTCCATCCGTGCTCCGGTGAGCAGGGCTTCTTCAAGACTCTGCCCCCCAGAGCGGAGAAAAAAATGGGGTCACCAGTCTAAATAAGCTCCCAAAGTTTGAAAAAATTTTAAAATATCAAGTAAAGAAATGTGCGAACTGGCACGAATGGCGCAGTAGCATCGCCAAAAGAAATGCGATGAAGAGCAGTTCCGTAGTCTCAATAAAAACACTGACACAATACAATAAGCGTTTTACTGCACAAGAAACTCAATCAAGGGTGGTGGTCACTGTAGAAGAAGCATACAGCTTATATAACAGGCGTTCTTCATGCAAAAAAGCTCCGGCGGAGCTAGGTGGGAAGGTGAGAGGAAACCCGTAAATGAAATACCGTAGAGGAACAAGCAAAAGAAGGACAGTTGCTCGTTTCTTCCAGTGAGAAAAAAAACGAGAAAAAGTTTGGCCAATTTTAAAAAATTTTATTCAAAACGCCTGGAAATGGAAGAACTAAAAGTTGTTCTCTTTATTTAAGTAAACTTGTGGTGCTCGAATGTTCATAATCAGTCTTTTAGAAGCTAGCAAGAGTCCTTGCCCAGCTGATTTTGGCTCAGTGTTTCAAACGCTCTTCAAACCCGATTCTATAAGACTTGGAAAATAGAAGTTCAACACATGGCGCTCAGTTCTGATAATTTAAGTTGTAAATACAGAAGTCACTGTCTGGCTTCTAGATAAAAGTGGTTCTGAGCTACATTTTACAATCAGACCTTCATCAGTTTCACGGATGGTATTCTATAAAATTGGTTCTGTTAAACGAATTCATTGTCTAGTACATAGTATGAAACTGCGACTCAAGCACTTCAGTGCGATTTTCAGAATAATAATTGTTCAAAATTAGAAGTTAATAAATGGCTGAAGTAAGTTCTAAAGTTGTTAAATGTTTTTTTTTTTTTTTTTTT